AATGATATTAAACATGGGGGGAGGCCCAAACGTAACACAAGAAAACCAAAACAACTTAACTACTTGGTAGCTATCTTAACAATGTTCATGACATTGATAGTTCCTTCGCTGCAACACAGTTTTAATAACACCGTCTTTAATACAACCAACACTCTATATTTTGACAAAGTCGCTGACATGAGAGTTGTTCAAGATCAATGGAAAATGATAGTTTATTACAACATGACAAAATACTGGCAAAACATGGCTGACATCCAAAATTACATTATGCATTTGAAAAGCGTAGAAAAGGATGAATTAATGTTTCAACCGATTATATCGCAATTCGAGCATGAACTGAATGAAATAAATTATTACAATGAACTATTGCAGGCTCGCACAGTTTGGTCCTTCGAGCCGGATATAAGCCGGAAGATATAATGAATAGTCACTTCCAGTACATTAACGAATATTTAAATAATATGACGTCGGCGATTAACAACGTGCGAATAGTAACAGATAATCAATTGCAAATTATAACAATGGCACTCTCAGTTAATGTCATTTTATCTAATTTAAGAAGAGTTCAAGACACTTTACTTGAGACCGTTACAAACATACATCATGGGCGACTTGACATGCATTTAATATCACCTGATGAACTGCAAAATCAACTCAATCTCATTGCTGGACGACTTCAAGGGGAATTAGTAATACCACACAATAATGAAAGGGAATTATATCGTCTCATGCAAATGCGGGCAAAAGTGACAAAAGCATTCCTAATTATAGAAATCAAAATTCCATTATTAAGTCAGAACCTATTCGAACTTAATAAAATAATCCCCCTGCCACGAAAAGTGAATGACAGCATCCTCTACAATATTCCCATTACTCCCTACATCGCAGTGAACATGAAAAAAGATATGGTTATACCCATGACTGAGACCGACCTACAAACATGCAAACGGTATCTAAACGAGATGTTAATATGCTACGAAAGTATTCCCATACTTAATGTCCACCTTGATAGGTCAATATGTGCAATAAGCCTGTACAATAATAATAATGACTCATTTTGTCGGACAGAGCTCAGACAATGTTCACACAACTGGATCAAGTTACAATCACCGGGCGCGTGGCTATACTCATGTTGCCGGGAGTGCAGAATTCGCATTTTATGCCCAGGTGGTCTTGATACAAAACAACTGCATGACAATGGTATAATTACTGTAGGTCAAGGATGTCTCATTAAAGGAGACACATTTACCATACAAGCCTACCATGATTATCACAACAAAATTTTCCTGCAACCGCTGATTGACATACCAACAACACAGCCTATATCGGCCTTGAATTCTTCAGTTCTTCAAAATCCTATAGAAATGAGGACAGAAAATCACAATGAACTTTACAACTCTATAAAGCGGCAAATAGAAGAATTGAAACAACAAAACCTGCAAGGAATTGACGGTATGACTGGTACCTCGCATTATACAGTTATCTACTCAATTTTGGTTCCGCTGGTCCTATTTGTCATGGCATATGCTATATTGAGATTCGGAAGGAAGTGGTGGACAACAAGACCAATACGCACGCCGCAGCAGCAACATCTGGCAGCCCAGGGAGCTGGATCGTCAATTGTGACAATCAGTCGGAGTCAAGACAGTGTAGTGAGTGATACAGTGAATGAAAGTGGTGTGAGTGCGCGACACACCGCTAAGTCAATCTCTCGCGAAATTAGTGGTTCAAGACTCGGTGTACATAGGGCTACGTCCCCCACTATGAACAAGACAATTAAATTTGATAATTTACCTGAACCTTAATCGTAGTTGGCTTAATTTTTAACTAATCTACTTTTGTATTTTTTTATTTTGGCGGTATTTCGTTGTTGGCAATATGTACAAGCCATTTTCATTATATTTTTGTTTGTTTGCATTTTTAACTGTCGAGTGTTATTGCCACATCGGCCTAATTAATATGTACATTTTTACAAGCGCATGTTGGACAGTGCATTAAAAGCATTCAACCTGTATGGACGTATAATTTATTTGACAAACTCTCTCTAATTAATCTTCCCGTGACATTCTATTGACATTCCTCTTGTGTGAGCTATTGCAGGCTCGCACATGTACAAAGACCGAATCACAAGCCATCCAAACAAGCTAGCAGTAAACCTGATGGACACCCAAACAGTCGCTAGAAGACTAAAGAGAAAGATTCCTCAAGACCTCATCTAGGAGGTTGTAAATATAAACGGGGCAGTCACTGGACAGCCCACGTACAAGTCTGCTGCATTTAACAAAAATATTGCTGAATATCTATATGATAGATTGCAATACATATATTATAAAAAAAAAAAAAAAAAAAAAAAAAGAAATGGCGAAACCAACACGGGTCACTCTATATTCGCCCAGGACTGCCCTGTCTGTAGAAAGTGGGACGCCTTGGCCCGAGCGGTTAGTTATTGCTAAGATGGTGTTTGGAGTCCCACAGGCAGTCAAATGAATCAGACACCGACACACCTTTGGAAAGTTTCCCCTATAAGGAGGTTAGAGCACTTTTGTGTGTCCGGAAGCAGCGGCGACGCTGCACTTGTCGCGGATGCAAGTACGCTAAAGACGAGAAACCACATAGCGGAAAACGTGCCACAAAATATAGGGGACTGTGGCTCGGATCACCGCGGTATAAAGCCGAGGGGAACAAAAAGTCGCAGCTGATGGGCACCTGCAAAAAAGGACGGGCAATCAAAGACGTGATCGCAGACATATTAAAGGGGAACGCAGACGATGCTCTGCACTCGGTGAGTATAGGATCCGATAGCTCAGACCATCTCGTTAGAAGTCCTGGAAGGCCACGCAAACGACTCAAATAGTCATGTTACACATGGCGGAGCGTTTGCGTGAGAATGGCACTACGATGACGGAGAACACCGAACCTCGACCCGGCGGAACCAGTGAAGGGCAGCACATATTGGCGTTAAGTACGTATATTGGTATAATATAATGAAAGTATTTATCCTGAATATTTATCTATTATTATTGTTAAACGGGCCAAGTGTCAACTGGGTCTTGCGAGAAATCTGAAGACAGAGATCAAGACCCAGGCGATACTAGCCATTGAGCGCCGTTACCAGCTGGTTGGTTTTGTAGGTTTGTAGGAAATTAGTTGTATTATTACCTCCCAAGAGGAATACGTCGAGTTACAAGTCACCCTGTAGATAGGTAGCTTTTATTATATTTTGATAGGAAACTCCTCTAGAACTAGTCTGTGATGGAAGAAAAAAAAGAAAGAAAAACTTTATTTCACACGCTAAGACAGGTGACGCGTACAGATTTTACACATAAGTTTATACATATCTACTAATGTCCCAAGTCTGCGGTGAAATGGGACCAGTTCAGCATGTGCAAGACAGGGCATCGCGCTGGTATTCTACTGGCCCCTTAAGTGACTCGCGGACGAACAAGTCACCAATCAGACAACAATAAACATATAGCAAATGATCGATGATGATGAATCGCGTCGACTTCTAGAACATACATCTTCTGCCATTTTGAACAGCTCTTTATGTTTACGTACGAACATACACATTTCATATAAGTACAATGAGGGTAGGGGTAGCAAACCAAGCTTTTTGAATATTGGCTGCCATGATACATCAGGTGGAATCCCATATAAGGCTCGTATACATCGTTTTTGTGCGATAAATACTCTCTCTTGATCAGTACTATTTCCCCATGCAATTAAACCATATTGTAGTGATGATTCAATATACGCACGGTAGAACATGACCGCAATTTTAATGCAAGTGACATTTTTGATTTGTTTGAGAGGGTAGACTTTATTTTGTTGCAGACATGGTTTGTTGCAGTCTATCTGGTCTGGAAAGAACAAGTCCAACAAAGTTTTTGGGAGTGTTTATAGATGAACAGATGTTTATCTATAAACTATCTATAAAACTTTGTGTTGTTTGCTTGCGTAATTTTAGGTATATCCATTTTAAAATGATATTTACTGTTATATGATTTATTAAATTAACGTATACAGATTTATTAAGATTGATGGATATGTCATTATAATTGAGCCAGTTGATAAAATTATATATTGTGTTGTTTATGTGTGTTTCGTGATCTTTAACGGAGTTATGTTTTTTATCATTAGTGACAATTATGGAAATATCGTCGGCAAAAAGAAAGCATTTATGGTTAGTCACATCAACTATATCGTTTATGTAAAGTTAGAATAAGATCGGGCCCAATATACTACCTTGGGATCGCCCCGCTTTATGCATTTATATTCTGATGGGTAATTGATCATATTCTGATTTTCCTCAATTCTGGTGATAATGACCCTCTGTTTTCTATCAGATAAGTATGATAATATCCATTGTAAAGGTGTTCCTCGGATTTCGATAACCTTTAATTTCTGCAACAATCTATCTTGCGTTACTAGGATAATTCCCTTCTGCGAGGTGTTTCCTAATATCAATAGGATTTAGATACTTCTTGCTATAATCCTCACAATTTATAATGTACTTCATCTTTTTGGCAAATGTTAGGTAAGTTATATTATAATATTTACAATCAGCGAAATGACAATGTTTAAAATATTTAATTCTAATCTCCAATATTTATTTATTTATTGATCGTTTGTTTTATATCATGTTGATTGATCATGTTCGTATGTTATAAATATTCAAACCGGTTTTATGTGCATGCAAAAATTATTATGTGTAATGATATATTGTATGTATAAATGTAAATAACTGGTGTTTTAAACTAATAAATAAATAAAATGGGCTCCGCGTGGTATGGCCTATATAAATTGGCCTTATAGGCCACCTCCCCCCCCCCCCCCTGTAAGGAGGTATGGACCCCGACTACATCGGACTCATAACATCTGATGTAAAGTGGGTGTTACATTAATGTGCCTTACTCTTCAGGAAATGAAAAGCGTGATGTTATTTATTATGTTTATTGTTATTAATTGCGTCCATTTTGTAATAAAATTGTAAGTGACGTTCAAAGTCTCGCTTGAATCCATGATAAGAAGGAAGTGACTCGAGCAAATCCTGACGGAAGTCCAATCTGGCAACCACGTGACGAACCAAACGATGTCACTCCGATCTAAAGACAAAAGCAATACCATAGAGGTATAATTACAGAGCACTCGGCATAAGCGCGGGTCGAGAGTCGGTACGTACCAAGACACGCTGTCCGTTACTGGTGACGACGAGGGGGCCGCCGGAGTCACCGCCGCACGTGCCCACCGGGCCGGAGCTGGTGGCACCGTTAGTGCACAGAGTGGACGAGATAATAATACCACCAAAGGACTGCGAGCACACTGCGTTCGTGATCACCTGAAGGGACACGTGGCTCTGGAACTGGCTTTGCAAGATGCCACCGGCTGTCGCAATATGATTCTGTGTTAGTACGGCGCTGCTATAAGATACTAGTGAGCACAAAGTAGCCCAGCTGCAAATAGCCAGCTACATACCGTCACTGGTCTTTCCGTAACCGGCAGCCTGTACCCAGGAGCCCGCAAGGTTGCTATTGAGCAGCGCACCACTCGGCAACGCGACAGGTTGGATCACATCTGTAATAGACATGTGCTAATCAGAACAAGCGAACCTGAACCTTATCCTCACGAACCTAGCCGATTGACGCATTCAGCAACTTACTCGAGTAAGGCACCGACCCGAACGAGATCATGGCAACGTCATTGTTCAAGTTGGTGGGGCTGTAGCCCGAGTGCACCTGCACGCTAGAGGTGGTGACGCGAGTGCCGCCTGAGAACAGGCGCGCTGAGCCAAAGACCAGCTGAAACTGGCGCGCCTGGTTGCGGCCGTCCCACCAGCAGTGCGCCGCCGTCAGCGCGCGAGTGTTGCTCAGCATGGAGGATCCGCAGACCGACATGGCGCCTGAGGTCAGCGTTATCACGAGTCCCACCTGCGCGCATAGCACGGTTACTCTACATCTTAATCAGGCCACATCACTGCATCAGACAGCTAACGCTTACCAAGAACGGATAGGTCCCGACTGGCGCGGCCGCGCCACCAATTATCTTGGCGCCGTCGAAGTGGGCAGCTCGCTCTGCTTGCTTGATGCGCTCTGCCTCAGGGATACCCACGGTCTCGTGGTAATATAGCGCCACAGACTCGGCTTCCCCGACAAAGGTTGGCCCGGCAGCCGTCGCCGCTGCCATCATTACGATCGCCAGTAAGTACTTCATGGTGCACCTCGTATTGCTACTGCTTAGACTTCTCGTTTCCCTTCAATCTTTTATAGTAATGGCTTGTCATAATATAATCTAATCGCTTGGTGTTTAAAATGAAATTGCGTAATTTAATTGCCTTTAGCTAGACAATGGGCAGAGTCCATAAGTCCCACACAAGGTCGAGCGCGTAGTCTTAACCAATGGTCTCACACCACTGGTCTGGTTTCTCTTTGCATAATTTAGTTCCTTGTAAAAATGTTTCCGAGTTGGTTCGTTTCTTTGAACGCGTTAATCTCAGGAACTACTGGTTCGATTTGAAAAAATCTCTTTGTGTTGGATAGGTCGCTTATCGAGGCAGGTTATAAAGGCAGAGCGGGTGGAACCGCGCGGAAGTAGCTAGTTATAGATAAGTACTACCGTTTGAGTTACAGTTCAGATTCTTCAGGAGTAAGAGTGTGGCAGAACACGTCACATACTACAAGACAACTCCAAGGGCAGCGGACGCAGCGGACATTGTTAGCCTCGGTGCTACTAGCTTATCAAATATCATAGACAATATCAAACGATGTGATGCAATCTTTACCTTGATTGTCGATTGTGTGTAAATAAAAATTAAATTATTGGTAATACAATTAATTATAATGGCAGCGTATGATAATCACTCATCAGTAACGAGTAAATTGCCTACAAGTATATTAAACCAGTGCCGACAGCTTCGAAAAATATAATATAAATATGTTCATACGTACTAGTAGACACCGGCAAGTACCGTAATCGTTTAATGTTTACAAGTGTGGCTGGACGGTGGTCCGACTGTCCGAGACCGAGATGTCATTAGTTGCGAATGTTGCTTGGGTGGAGACCAAGACACACTCGGCCGCTTGTGGCACAATCGCTGCATTGGAAGAACGACATCGTTCGGGGTACCTTCTGTTTGGCAGTAACTTGAGACCCCGAATTTTGTTTTGCATAACACACTTCACATAATTTTAACAAAAGATTACCTATATAATGTCCGAATTGCAAATGGTATATTATTACTTATGTTGCAAAATTCTGCCATGTTATTTTATACAATAAAACACAATGCTAACTTGGTATTTCCAACACTTTCTGATTTTTGTTTTGTTAGAATTTCATTCCATCGACAATTAGTAGTATTTTCAATATTAGGTAAGTAAATATAAAAGCAAATATTTCGGGCCAAAAAATAATAGTGACTGAAACCAATCACATAATGTAGACAATGCACGTAAACAGCTCGATTCTTTCGCAAAATTTCCTTTAATGCAATCCGAGGAAACTTATTGCGTTGGTTTGCCTTCCATACAAGAAACCGCTGCCAATGCCAGTGTGAATGCCACCGAAGTGACGTCTGGTGTTCCGCAGGGATCCATCCTTGGGCCTCTACTGTTTAATATTTTGTCAATGACATAGAGAATTGCTTCCCACATACCAAATTCTTCTTGTACGCTGATGACCTATTAAAAGCATCGAAGACTGCACTCTTTTTCAACAGGATTTGGATAAACTAAGTTATTACCGTCACATTATTAAAATTAAATTTAGATTACCTAAATGCAATTACCTAAACTTTACCAAAAAAAAATATCATTCACTTACACCCTGTGTCATACACCCCTCAGTAAACTAAACTCGATCCAGGATCCAGGAGTGACACTTGACTCCAAACTCCACCTAGATCTGCACAACGACAAAACAGTAAACAAGGCATACCAAATGTATGGATTCATAAATGTATCATCATATGTCCCTCTATAAGACCCTAGTGTATTCTCAACTGGAGTATGCAGTTTCAGTATGTACCCTTACTACGAAAAATACATAGAGGTGAAAGAAAACCAACACAGATTCTTACGAGCCATGCACTATAGATGCCACAATTCCTACTGTTGGAGAAAAAACTCTTTTGCGTCACCTCATTTATGAAGTTTATTATTTTAATTTTTTATGTTCCAAATTTGATATTTTTTTTCTGTAAGGAGAGGACCTGTGTCAGGCGGTAGGTGAGGACGCCGTAGCGTCTCTCAAGCCACTCCTCAAAGAGGGGACTTACCGCTGCAATGGCAGCGAGCCCATATAGTTTATATACTAAGTACCTATAATACATGGATATTGCACCCGTGCGAAGCCGGGGCGGGTCGCTACTGCTATAATAACTACCAAGTAATGTATTGAATCTTAATAAAAATAAATTCAAAATTAAAACTCGTATAAAGCGCGAAGTATGTAAAAAGGGTACAATGTACTGTCAGATTATATTGAAGATATGAGTGTATGTTGGTCCGGCTCCGCTAGACAATACTCAATACACTCAGTAGTTGCTTAAACTCTAAGAATTAGTCTCAATTCCAATATTTTATTAATAAACTTATGGCATCGAACACTTGTTTTTGATTTGAATGACTTCATCAAAGATTTTTATTTGTATAGTAGGTAACATTATTTCAAATTGTAAATGTACATATGTGGGCACCCTGTTTTTTTTTTAATAATAGTAAATTGTATTTTTCCACGGACTTGTGTCCGTGCCCTTGTCATATTACAGGTACATGTTTTCATGGTCAAACAATTGTTATAAAGATCTTACATGCCACGCTAACCACTACCTCTAATATCACTACAGTGGGCACCATGTTTGAAACAATCATTCATAGCTTTTTTTATTTCAGGAGTTCCATAGTCAATGAATTGTTGACGTTGTATTGTCGCTGGGTACATCGTTCTCATATATACAATCAAAGGATCAGATAGTGTATCAATGTGATTGTCAAAGACATTATTTTTCAAAAGAGTAACGATGGTTTCTCGCTCGTTCTTCTCCATTCGAAACTACACTTGGATCGAGTGCCTACCTTCACACAGACAGACGGGCGGACAATTCAATTCTTGACGTTTCACAAGTGCATAATTAAGGATAAATTAAAATAAATGCTTTGACTTTGACAATTACTTTGCGCGTGTGTAAAGATGATGAACAAAATTGTGCGTTTGAACGTTTTCATTTAGGTACCTATACTTTGTGACAGTCACAACCACCCAAGTAAAACAATTTCACAGATTAAACGGATATATTTTTAATTGTAAGGTACACTGCATATTGTAGGAGTATACGGTTCCGGCTTGTTCGATTATCGCTGCGACGAGACGCTGAGTGGCGAGCGAACCAACGTCTATGGCAAACTCTGTCCAGCAGTGGACATCTTTCTTTGTACATATATTGTCGGTAGCAGGAGCAGGTAATACGACGCAACTCGCACCGAATCACTCGTTCCTACCCTGGCACCGTGCGCGCAGCGTCACATGGTCGCGGCTCGGAGTGGCAGACGTCCCCGTGCGAGCTCCACCTGCAACAGCGCTCTACTATACTGCGCGCACCGACACTGGCACCGGCGCCGGCACCGCGGGGCGCAGGCTGCCCTCAGCTAGCTAGTTGTATACACGATTCAATAATATCAGATGTTCAGCGGTCATCCTCGGGCGCCGAGCGTGGCGAGCTCCAGCTGGCGGGCGGCGACACTCACCGTGCTTGCTGCTCTGCATCGCGTGGGCTTGTCGGGCCCCGGAGCACCGTTCGCAATATATAGGCACGCCGCACGATAATGTTATCAACCATCGGATTAATTTTAGCATTCCGTGCTAATTCCACGATTGTCCAAATTAGATGAGCCGTCACGCGTTACGTTAAGTAGGGAAGTGGCTCATGATGGAGACATGATAGAGAAAAAAGAATGGCTCATAGCGCGCACGTGCCATAAGCCGTATAGCAAACAAAGTTGTACGTTGTGCTGGCTGAGCAGTGCCTAAAATACTAGATATTTTTTTTTTAATTTATTTATTGATTTACATCAGGCAACGAAGGCCCATATTAATACAATAATACTATAATATAAAACATAAAATACTATAAATACATAATTATACAAGTTATTAATTTAATTCACGATGTGCGTGGTGTCGTGTTACGCTGGTCGGTGTCACGTAGGCCTCGCAATAGACATCGTGGCGGCTCCAATAACAAGGCGCCCCTCGAGCGTAAGGACGCCTGGTTCGAAAAAATAATGTGTCTTATAGTTATGTACTTTTTATTTAGATATCACTGAGATACGGTGAAAGACACATTTTGAAGACCCCTGAACAAAGGTGACACGGGCCAATCCGTCTTAAGCAAGCGTGGTGTGGTGATTAATGCTCGCACCTTCTCGATATGAGAAGAGGGCTTTGCTCAGCAGCGAGCACATAAATACAGGCTGATGACTTACTTCATTTAAATGACTCGGTTAATTATTGAACATTCTTACTTAATTTGTAAACAAAAAGAACGACCGTAGCCATTAACATTGTCGGATCTACATTACTAATGTCGAATTACTATATTTACACACCTTTTTTAAGGGGGGAAAATCATCCAATGACTTCTCCCGCCTTGGGTTGGTGAGAGGGAGTGTCAGACTCTTACTGACTAAAAACCACCCGTTCCTACTCCTGCCCTTCGAGCCGGAGCCCGGCTTTACACGTAGATGGAGTGGGTCTGATGATGAAGACTTATAATAAATAAATAAATAAATAATTGTTAAGGGAACTCTTCAACGGTTTACAGTAACTACCTCGTGTATGGGCTTGTACAAGTTGTATTGATTAAAACTTTGCACGTATGTGGATTGTTATGGATTATAAGTGGCAAAACAGGTCTATGGAGGCTTAAACTAGAAATGATAAAATAAAAAAATAGAAACTGCGTTTATAAACCAACTTTATTTATTATTTCAACCAAGAAGCAAAAAATAACTATTATTAGTACCTACTGACAGGTTACCCACCCACTGATAGGTGATCGATCCTCCACGAGCCGCAGCGCTGCACATAGTGCATAAAGGACTGGATACAACATTCTGCTAGCGAACATTAGCTTGTAATTCATGACTCGATATATGTATACATGAAGACCCACACACCACGGGCCACCACTCAGCCAGTAGCCAGTACAGTAGCAGTGAACGCTGGCAGCGCGCGCCCTAAATACCTGACGTGCGCCGGTGATCGATCGATTTGCTTTAATCTCTGCTTACTGTACCCAAGTCAATGGACACGTGATACCGATAATGAACGTACAGATTACTACACAACTAGATAAACAACTGATAATGCGTTTCTTACATTTAACAGAAAAACTTAATAAATATATTTTATTATTATGTTTGAACGAGCAACAGCTACAGAATCATAATAGTAAACATCTGAATACAACAGGCAGGCAGTTCCAGGTGTTCGCTGTTGGACACAATGATATACTAAATATCCAATTGCTTACCATCAGACGATCCATCTGCTTGTTCACCGACTTATCCTTACTTTCCTTACTTATATTATAAGTAAGGAAAGTAAGTTTGTTTGTTTGTTAGTTCCGCCTTCACGACGTAACTACTGAACCGAATGCTCTGAAATTTTGCAGAGGTAAAGTTAGAAGTCTGGATTAAATAATAGGGTACTTTTTATCCCGGAAAATTTTGATATTCCCGAGGAAAAACAAAAGTATTGGTATAGATGGCGCTGTGTGTATTGGTATATTTCACATAGGCTACTTTTTATCCTTTTGTGACGCGAGCGAAGCCGCGGGTAAAAGCTACTCCCATAAAAAAGGGTTCCGATTCTTACCATTTGGCTTATAAAATGGGACGAGAATTACCTATAGTAAAAACATAAATTAAATAATGTGTTTGTTAATTACTTATTGAGGAAAGTAATCTGTTTACTACATTTCAACCATCCTTCATGATATCGGCCCACTTAACACACATGCCGCCATTTTCGCAATTTAATTTAATTTATTTTCTTTTGTATATAACATAAATACACTAGAATTATACATAACTCGCCAGTCAACGTGTCGACGTGGCAATGCTGCCAGTCATCTGGGAACGTCCCGGTGATAGTGAAGCGGACGACCACCTACCTCTACTTTGACGCCTGATTAAGGGTAAGTATATATTTTTTAGTTTATTTTTATTCACTAAGTTAGGATTTCCGGTGCGCTTATGCAGAGTGTTGGCGTCAGAGTCGCACTCGGCGGAGCTCACTTCAGTTCGAGTCGCCACCGGGTGAACACGTTGTGACGGTACTGCCGTACGTTTCGCTTAGTGCCCAGTTACTGTACCTTGTGATTATAAGTAACTCAGTGATGAATTTCTAAACGCTTTTCCTATTTACACGATACTCATCTTCACCCACATTCTGTCCGAGCAACCGCAACATAATAATGCCTCTTCCGATATATATGTACATACAGGAATATCGACGTTGATGTTTTCTAAACTATTTAGACATTATTTTGTGGTGTCATATAGTTTGTTATATGAGTTTGGTTGATCAATTGACGATTAATTGAGAAAGGTGTCGATGTATGAAATAAAAAGTAGCCGATTGTAGTTGATGATATCCAAGCACGGATCGTAATTCTCGGCGCTCACAGGGAGATGTTTGATCAACTTTTCCGCTTCAACTTTCACGCACAATTTACATTTAAGGAACTTCATTTTCTGCGTTTTGTTTAGCGTTGGATTATTGTGAATCATCAATATCACTTTAAGATGTATTTATGTCATTAGTTGATTCTATAATGAGCTATGCTCTTAACAGCTATGGGTTAACATTCATAACTAACTTAGAAAGATCGGAAGCTCTTCAAATTAAATTCTTAAGCTACTTGGTAAAAAAACTAAAAGCAGCTGTAAAGGAGACTATAGATAATTATTCAAAATATGCAAAATTCTACCGATTACTTTCAAACATAAATATCTTTTATTAGTTAACTACATAACTACCACAACAAAACTGTGGAATGATCTGCCGTCGGCGGTATTTCCGAACCGATACGACCTTCGATCCTTCAAGAAAAGAGCGTTTTCATTTTTAAAAGGCCGGCAACGCACCGGTCGACGGTCGGCGCTGATGGCTTACCATTAGTGATCCGTCTGCTCGTTTGCCTCCTATTCCATAAAAAAAACCATACTCAGGATCATAAGTTATCTTATGTAAAGAACAATCATAACACACGAACTATGGCCGCTGGTAGATACGAAATACCCAGAGTCATCAACTATTGTGGTGATAGAACACTAAAAAAGAGAAGAAGAGAACCATATCTACTGAATAGTCTGCCGGCAGACGTAAGCAGTGAAACAAATTCAAACAGGTTCAAACGTAAATTAAAGTCATATTACCTAGAAATGTATAAGTTTCCTGTATAATATTAATAAGTACATTTAATTGTAATGCCTAGTGACTCGACGCCACAGTCGAACCATTGCAACGGTTTTGTGGGGCTTAAATTATGTATTTGAAATGTTTGTGACGTTTAATTAGCTTGAAATTAATTGATAAATAATTAATTAGTTATTGGTCAATTACAACTAAATTACAATCAAACTAGAAATTGTGAAAAAATATTACTCGCAGTCGCCAGAGTATAAATACAGTCACACACTTTGTTCTACTTCCGTCAATTCAACCGCCATACTGTCAGAGCCCTGATTATTGTAACTTTGTAAAATAAGCCAAGCGGAACCTATTCTGAGTTTAACTGTTATTCTGAACGAGGACTCCTTAGTGGATGACCAGTTCTACAAGGAATGTGTCGTCTACATTAATGACGTCACCACTTTAACCTTGGACTTCAAAGGGCTACTATACAAACACTACATGTACACTATTCGTGCGAAGTCATTGTAAACAAGCAGTGTTCAGAGGGCAGTGCGGCCACTCGTGACTGGTTGTGGGCTTGCGAGAACAAGGAGGGTAAATGAAACGCAGGGACTACATTAACTGATTGATTTATTCGTTGACTCCTCGGCAAACTTAATTGGTCCACCTTTATTGCTTCTAACTAGACGCGCACTAACGGCCGCGGGGCGCGGGCGCGGGCGCGGACGCGGACGCGGGGCGCGGGGCGCGGGGCGCGCGGGTCGGTGGACCAGCGAAGTGGCCGCGGCGGCGCGCGCCGCTCCTACTCGAGACACTTAACCTAGCTATGTACAAAATTAGTACCCGTTTAAATGAATGTATATCGAGTCTATTTACACGTGAGGAGGTGTGCGACGACGTCACTGCGCGTTCGGTGCCTGCGCCTGTGCCGGGGCTACGGGTTGCGCCGGGGACGCCGCAGGCGTTGGCACCGCAGGAGCCGCACCGGCCGCACCGGGCGCACCGGGCGCAGTGGGCGCAGCGGGCGCAGTGGGCGTTGAGTTCGCATGCGCCGTGGCTGCAGGGGGCGCGCTCGGCGGCTCGGCGCTGGACAAGCGCGCGAGCGTCTTGTACAGCGGCGAGTTGACGAAGCGCGGATACGAGTCGCGGTGCATCAGCGTGTAGATCTGCAGCTGCGCCTCGTCGAACGTGTGCGGCGTCGGCTCCACCATGTTGCGGTTCACGATCTCCCGCACGCGCGAGTCCAGCGACACCTGCAACAGTACGCGGTCAGAGGGCGCAGGGGGCGGGGGGCGCGAGGGGGGGGGCGAGCTTACGGGGCTCACCTCCTTGGGCGACAGGATGGAGATGTAGTCCTCGTAGATGAAGCGTGCCTTCTCCTCGACGGCGTCGGGGTCTGTCTCTCGCTTGAGCTCTTCGCACGCGAGCCAAAACATTATGTTCTCCTCAGAGTACTCGCCGCGTAGGAAGTCGCGAAATACTTTCCGTCCGGCTGAAACAGCCAAACGTACCACATGAACACAGCGCGACAGAGAGTGGAAGTGAGCAGTAGCGGGGGAGCCACGCGCTACGTACCAGCGCTGCGCATGAGGCGGTCGAACGACTGGCCCCAGCTCTGGATCTCCTCTAACGTGGGCCTGCAACAGAGTACACTTACTGTCACCGTCTGCTCTGTGGGAGTGGCAGGTCAGCCACGCAACTTGCTTCTATAGTATAGTTTGACAAAGTGCGGCTCAGACCATAACGTGACCATCTGTGACCGAATTCTCTCAGTTGTCGTCGTTTTAATAGGAATTTGTTAAACTATGCGTCCAAAATCCAAGTTTATTGTTGCAATGCTTAGAATTCGAATTGTTCGCCACCTAAATACCCCAGGTTCGATTCGGCATTGCTATTGATATTGATCACCCAAATACCCCAGGTTCGATTCGGCATTGCTATTCATATTGATCACCCAAATACCCCAGGTTCGATTCGGCATTGCTATTCATATTGATCACCCAAAAACCCCAGGTTCGATTCGGCATTGCTATTCATATTGATCACCCAAATACCCCAGGTTCGATTCGGCATTGCTATTCATATTGATCACCCAAATACCCCAGGTTCGATTCGGCATTGCTATTCATATTGATCACCCAAATACCCCAGGTTCGATTCGGCATTGCTATTCATATTGATCACCCAAAACCCCAGGTTCGATTCGGCATTGCTATTGATATTGATCACCCAAATACCCCAGGTTCGATTCGGCATTGCTATTCATATTGATCACCCAAATACCCCAGGTTCGATTCGGCATTGCTATTCATATTGATCACCCAAATACCCCAGGTTCGATTCGGCATTGCTATTGATATTGATCACCCAAATACCCCAGGTTCGATTCGACATTGCTATTCATATTGATCACCTAAATCCCGCACTATCTTTGTACTCATTTTCACTAAATTAGGTTCAACGGTTTAGAAGATGGAATCATGGAATTTTACCGTACAAGTAATTCCCGTTCCCGAGCATTACCAGGATAAAACTGTCCTACGTCCTGTCCTTGGCCTTAAACTATTGTTGTACTGAATTTCCCTTATATAGGCTTAGACGGTAGAAAGTCTTGGGATTATAGCACAATGTTCCCGTTCCTGGAGCTTTTCTGGATAAATACCATCCTATGTCCTCCTCCACGGACTCGCTTTCAATCACTTTTGTCCTCATCATCAGGGACAACGATATCTAATGAGCCCTCAACTCGATATGTTTACTAGTAAGGTCGATGGACCGCCGACCTCCAGCTCCATGGTTCCATCATATTTTACAGGCATCAATTTACGTGAAATGTCAAGTTTCTTGGTTAAACAATAGACGGTTCGTTACAGGCCCGCCTACCCCAATAACACGCTAAAAGTAAAAAGTCTTTTACACTTACGTAGGTAGCGTAATATTGTTATTTTTTAATCTAACGTTTCCGCTCATTACAATTTCCTTCTGTGCCGTAAGTACGTTTATAAACATACAATTTCGCACACATAGACATGACACCCAGACCCAAAACAACAATTTGTGTATCACGCAAAGAGTTGCAGCGCGCGGGAGTCAGACCCGCGACACGTCGCCACGTCTGCCGCCGCAGGCGATGGTCGTTTACAAGCCTTGCGGCTACAATGCAATCTAGTACAACCGAATAACTAAAGCAGTGAATCTAACGAACAAGGATTCAAAAAGTAGTGTTGTATCGATTACATAATGAACTGTATAGTAAGAAAGTGCAGTGGGTAAGAGATGTTACATATTATGTACGTAGTATGGTAGAAGCGAGGGTACTCACGGCGCGTCTCCGTCGCTGAGTGGCGGCTCCGTCGGGCCGGACTTGCCCGGCTTCTCGCCGGGCCCGCCCTCCGAGCCGCGCACCGCCAGGCTGCACAGTTGCAAACGTTACACTAAGCTCGCCCCGCGCCCCGCCCCGTGCTGCCCCGCTACATCTCTACTCACTCCTCTTATATTATTGTTAAAACATATTAAATAGGAATAATAGGCACGCTTCAGGTTTGAGGGAGGTAATCTCCACCTGTAACGTAGCGGCAGCGAGGGGCCTCGCTGGGGAGCTTGACCAGCTTCGACGATATAGGTAATGTTTCGTCAATGCATCACAAACTGCACGACGCAGTAAGCTACGAGCGGCATGTGATACACAAGCTGACGACTGTCGTGTCTAATGTCGTGAACGAGCTGGGCACGAAGGCGCGCTGAAGACTAGCTACAGAATAAGGGTGGAGAGGGCGCGTGACTTCTCTGCACTCACCATTTAGCCCTGGAATAGAACAAACGAAAATGTCAAGAACCATCGACGCTGTACTAGGCAGTCGTTTAGTTAGTGGGCGGGCGGGTACTGACCAGGAGCACGAGCAGCAGCAGCACCAGCACAGGCAGCAGGGCTTGGCGGCGGCGGCGGCGGGCCGGCAGCCGCGCGCCAGCGCTGCCAGACTGCACATCTGCAACATGCAAGCGGCGCGTCAGCGGCGCGGCGGCATCGCGGCGGCCAGGGGCTGCTGCGCAGTCGCAGGGAACGAGGACGTCCGGCGTCCTGGTAAACCACGGCGCGGACGTGTCTCGCGCACCAACATCACCTACTTTAATGCATTACGTCGCAACTAAGTCACTAACTCAATGATTTGCGTGTTTCCAGTATTCAATCAGCTAACATTCGCTCTGTACTTGTTGGGCTCGAAAATATATAAGTAGTAGGTAAAGCTCGTTAAAACCTAGTGTTGGGTTTTCGTATTCGTTCACACATCGGTTACCTATTCACTACTAGCAGTGCCGTCGTCAGGTCGTCGCCATGGGGGCCCCAAAGGACCGACAATTTCTACAACTGACACACACCCGGGACACTGCCCCGCAACGTGTAGCGAGTTCGATTCCCACAAGGAGAAAATCGTTGTGTCATCCACAAATTGTTGTTTCGGGTCTGGGTGTCACGTGTATGCGAATGGTATGTTTGTAAATGCACCCACGACACAGAAGAGAAATACTAGTGTGGGACAACGTTGATAAAAAAGGAGCAACCCACAAGGAGGCGAATTATTGTGTGCCCGACGGCCCCGGCGCAGTCCGAGACGGCCCTGCCTGTGAGGTATGTCACAGTGTAAGATATACTTACTGTTGAGTTGATCACAGACCACTGTAAGTGTGCAACCTACAACAATTTTGTTTCATTCTCTGCCACCTGGCGCTGACATTCTATACGACCGACAAATACCAAATTCGATGATGTTTTCCAGATGACAATAGCGGCAATAATAAAATGAAGGACGTTTCTACTTTCCATAATTAATGTACAAGTTTGTCCGAATGACTAGCCATTCCAAATAGTTCGAGTGCCCTGACGTCCGCAGCGCTCGGCAGCCACGAGCCACCCCGCGAGGCCGGCGGTGAGAGGTCTATCCTCTGCTCTCTCTCTGGTGTCTAAGCTATGAGTCCACCAGTCCTGAAGTAGTCCACACAGTGGAGTCGGATTCAAAAGACTCCGGTTGTGCCACCGGAACCAAGTTCGTTATCGCGCGGTCCGCTGGCTGGGGGAGATCTCTTCGCGACACTTTTGATAACTATTAGTGTTTTGTTTTTGCTGTGTGTTTAGTTGTGTTCGTTCAGATGGAGCGTGGACTTGCAGTATATCGAAATAAAAGCGATTCGGCTTATATGCAATTATACCAAATATAGCAGTAATTATCTTGTACTATACCAGAAAGCTAAAGAGTTTGTTTGTTAGTACGGGCTAATCTCCGGAACTTTAACTTGGTGTTGGATAGTGCATTTATCGCAGAATAGGAGCCGAACAGAGAGGGTGAACCCGCGGGGAAGCAGCTAGTGAACAATTTCAGGAGTTGGTAGTGAGGTGCAGTGGAAGGCAGAGCAGTGACATCCGCGGCACCAAACCAAACAATGATTCGACAGTTACAGTCACAGTATCACGACTACGGTTAGAGTATTCTAAAAGTGTATCAACGCTTACCAGATAGTTGTAACAGAAATTTACATAAAATTACAAATTTATTTTGGCTGGCGAGTTTAATACCATCTTTTCTAATGAAAACATAGAATTTCTTTTAGATGAATTTCGTTTAGATAAGAATTAACTGAGATGACTACAACAAAATACAAAACTGCCATCGACGGCGGTTTGACAAGAAACTTATTTATTTATCATTTCATGTACCTACACCACACAGACAATATTACAAACTTACTTATGATTGAATCACAAACACACGTACTTTAGTTACCGTCAACCATTGTTGCTAAAATCGAAATTACTAAGTCAGCGATCATGGCCGCATCGGACGTTGGATCAACAATGTTGACATATAAATGTCATTTGAAAGATAATTATTTATTTATACTTCATTTGTTAATATCACAAGTATTAGAACCAAACGATTACGTGCGGTTAATACTCTTAAATAGGGAACAGTTAGGATCAAACCTTCATAAGAATGAGAGCACACCCTCTATAACATAACTTTTAATTCCCGAACTGTTGAGTAGAGATGCATATTATGTACTGGAAGTAATAAGAACTTCCATTAGTCGTGAGTCGTGCACAACAGAATGAGTCTATGAACATAATAGAGTCTATAAACACGGTTGCAGACTGTGGAGTATTACTGACAACACGTGAAAAAGAAATGTTTATGGTCGCCCCGGGAGCCGAACGCGAGATCTGGACTCTGCAATGACACTTATAACCTCTTCACCAACGGGAAAGTATTCCATATTTCAGCATTTAACTTAAGAAGTCTGTAATTGTGCGCGGTGTGTAGTCATAGATTCGTCCTAATTATATGTAAATATTAACATAACCGGCAAAAGGTCAGGGTTTCTTATAGTTGCACACCTCTGTGTACCCCTCCGGGAACAAAAGGAGTGATGTTTGTTTAATAATGTTAATTCGAGTATAACAATGATTATTGCATACAAATACGCGCGCACTTCTGTGTGATGGAGAAACAAACGAAATGAAGAGTTCCATAACGTTAGTGGCAACGTGTGAAGTGTGTTATCGCAACAAGCCCACACTTGATGGAAATAAAATAT